GGATAGCAGTCCATTGTGCTGCATAGAGGCAGAGCAGGAGGACAGCTAACTCAGTGAGTCTTTAGATTCTGATCACTTTAATGAAGATGCTTATTTTCTTTTGTTTTCCCTTTCTTAAAGCTTTGGTTCCATCTGTGAGGCTAGATACTTATCATATATAGACCAGGCTGATGATTCAGAAAGAAAGACAGTATATATTAGCCTTTTATCTTGACAGGGAGGACTAAAACCAGAAAACAAGCAGTTCCATAAATGAAGCACCAGGCTGAAAATGATGATAGGTATGGTAACCAGCTGATGAATCAGCACTTCCCTAATTAACTCTCTTTTTCCCCTTCTTAGCTTTTGGGGTTTCTTCTGCAGGGCTTCCCCCCAAACTGTGGTTAATCAGTTTACCAACCTGCTATACCTGTGCTTCCACTGGGGTTTAGCCAATGTGGTTCTTTTTAGTCATTAGTAGCCAGGCAACCATCAACATTAGCATTGACACAGGAATATTTATTTGCCTGTTTGTTCTCTTTCCACTTGTCTGGCAGGACAGAAACAATGTTGCAGTGATTCATATCCCCTGTCATACCATATCCACTCATTATATACAAATTCATAAAACCTAAAACTGAAAGCAGGCCTTCATGTGAAACTAAGAATAATCTGAAACTACGTTAGTTAAGAGACAGACATCTCTGATGAAATATTAATTTTCATTTTGCTTAGTGAGTGGAGTGACAAGATGGAATATTGAACAGAAATGTTTGGTATTTAGTACAATAATTAGTTCTAAAATTTGATATTAATCTTTGGAGCCAGGTACATAGAACTGTAAAATACTTGTTCATAGCGTAAGTAGACCAGGCTCTGGAAGACCAGATCTTCCTCCTCCTTGCCCCCTTCTTTTTTTAACTCAGATAAAACTTCTACTATTGAAAGACTTGCGGTATATAGAGAACTTCAAAACTGAACTAGTAGAAACATGCAAAGAGAAATTTTAATTATGGTAGTAGAAGGAGGTATAGAAATAGATATAATAATTTAGCCGAACTTAGGATCAGTTCTAGAAATACTGTGAATCATGCTGTTTACTACAATTGCTATTACAGCCAAAGAAGTTATGTGCGTAAGTTAAATTACGTACACGTTTAAATATCTGGAAGATATGGCCATTTGCGTACACTACTGGGCTTAACAAGCAGCACAGGTTGCGCTGGCTGGAATGGAATGTTTTATTTTAAGTAAGAAGGCACACCCAGTTTCAACTCTGTGTCACCTGCAGTGCGTGGCTCATCTTAAAAGTTCAAACCACTACTTCATAAATAATATTCATGTTCATTTCGAATGCTTACTGTGATTGCTCATTTTCTGTCAGTCATGATTTTCGTGTCCATCACAACTGTATTTCTGATACTAAAAAATACTTCTGTCTTGAAGCAAGTATCTCCTCACATCTAAATTAAATACAGCTGCATCTGTATTTGGGACCCATATTTTTGACAGCTATCTTCCCTCTGTCATAGGTAATCTCTTAAGGCCTAGAGGCTAAACTTGGAAAACCACAAAGATACTGCCCATACCCCTTAGGAGGATTTTAAGGCTCCTTCAGATGGGAGGTGAGCATCTTGTACAGAGGCAAGATACTGTCCATCCATAGTTAACCTGGAGTACCCGACTACAAGCTTGTCTAGCTACCCTCTCTGCCCCCATGTAATCTGTAAAATAAAATCTCCCCAAAATCCCATGTGAGTCCTGAACAGTCAGCCGCTTCCTAGCTCTGCTTGAGCTCCTTCCTGCTGTTGAGCTGGCTGTGCCTGGTCTGACAGACAGCGAGCGGCACGCTGAGATCCCACAGGCATTTAGCATACAACTGTTTGCCAAATATGTGTGTGTGGGATAATGTTTACAAACTTAAAAATAAAACCCAGTGGGGTATTCTGCCACTAAGCTCAGGCATCAGTTCTGACGAGATGAGTAGCAGTCCCATTGCAATCTGTCAGCATGTCCCATTAATTACTCAGAGGATTGCTAGGCCCTGCGGAGGCCAGCCTTCGTCATGACGTGCGTGTTTATTTGTCCAAAATCAATGTCTGTTTCTTTTAAGATGTTACCTGCCTAGGTACATAAATAACTTATGGCAAGAATCTCTAACTCTTGTGCAGGTCTGGTTTCTGATAAGGATATATTAAAAACATCAGCTTCCTGATTCTGCAGTTCAACAGTGCTATTCAACCAAGCAGGAAGAAATAAAGTAACAAGCTAACTGAACTTCAGGTTCTAAACACTTTTATTGGTTCAGGAGCTAAGAATAACAATACTTAAGCACTTTAAACACTTCTTTATGAAGTGCAGCTATGCTCTGAGGGCGAAAAAAGTCTCTAAAACTGATAGCTGAGTTTATTATTTGAATTTCATTCACAGCGGAGTTACTCAATTTACTTGTCCTTTCTTCTCCCCCGCCCCCACAAAATGCATGCAATGAAAGCTTAAATCATACTCCATTCTTGGTCATTTTCGTAACTTCCTTAGTAATAACCATTCTTTTGTTGCTATTTAGTTAATAATTTCACTGATAGTGTATAAGCCAGGGTAAAATCCCGTTCACTATTCAAGTTGTCTTGGCTCAGCGAAGAAATAAACAGTAATTAAATGAAGCATCTAGCATCCTGTTGACAAGGAATGAAACAGTAGGTGTGGAAACTGCTGGGAAGTTTGGCTGCCAGATATTGTAATGAACATTAATGTTATTGGGATTGTTCAAATGGGAAGCAAGTACAAATGCTGTCTAGGAAAGGGATCTTCTGCATGGAGGAAAACAAAACGAAGCACTTTCTTGGGCCTGTCTGCTAAATAACTTTTTAGTACACAGAACTTGTGCTTTTACACAAGGGGGAATCTTCCCCACGTAATGTATTTCCCATGTTTTTTTGCAGATATTGGTTATTTTCACTGTCCTCCATGCAGACTTCTACCCATCAGTTTTCTGGCAGCCTGGTTACAGGTAGAGTTTAAGCCTGCAAGTGAATGCAAACTAGCTGAGTGGCACCATCCTCTGTGCAGGAGACATGAAAAGCAGTGTTTTCCAAAAGCTAAAATAGGAATTCCTTCCAGGCCTTGAAGTAAATGGAAGGTACGTGCTTGAAGCAGGGTGGGCCTATCCTGAAAACAGACTCCTCTATCCATAAGAAGCCTTTCGTCAAGGAGACAAAGTGCAGCACTTCCAGGCACACTGGAGGTGATACAGATACCTCAGCCTGTCAGCACCTTGTCCTCTTAGACCCCAGGGCTGTTTTTGCATTAAAGCTTCACACAGAGATTAGTGGCTGGTCATGAAATGGAGAGAAACATTTCTGACATTTTTTCCTCTTCGCACAGAGTTGCAGTTTTGCACTGATTGTTCAATGGGAGCTTGTTTGATTTCTGGGCTGGAGCTTGATCAAAGGTCCACTGAAAGAAATATGCCACTTACACTAAGCTTTATGGGCTCAGGAATTGGGCAGTTGATCTTTTTGAAAAATTTCCCAGAAACAGAGCTGTAAAGAAGTATTTAAATAATGTCACAAAACTTGTTTGGCACACAGGAAGGAGCAGTGATTTCTGGAAAGAAGATGCAGCTTTACAGAGAAAATTAAGACAAGGGGAAGGCAAGGATATGTTTAGGAAGAATGCTTGGACTAAGTGGTTGAGAAAGAAGTTGTAAGAAAGCATCACAGACCTGTACAAGGATATAGAGATGAAAGGCCCAAGATGAGAATCAAGTATTCAAACTGAATGCAAAAAGCAAGAGAAGGTAGTTGGCAAGATTCAAAGGAAAAATAGCATGGATAGAAGGGACAGAGAGAAGACTTTGAATGCCAGTAGTAGAGAAAGGTTATACAACACTAAGTGAATAAAAAGCAAGGTAGGAAAAACATTGTCAGCCCAGAAAAAGAAACAGGCTAAGAGCAGAAAGCAACTTGTGGATTCAAGACCTTGTTGTACCTTTAAGTGTGCCTTGCTTATGTCTCTGTGTATAAATGTGTGTAAAGGAGCATAAAGTATTTGGTAGTTAAAGGACTGCTTTTAATCTGAGCAGAATGACTGAGTGTGCTACATGTGAATGTCTTCTCCAGTAAGAAGTTCATCTTCTATGTACTGTGCTTGCTGCCAGTGCTTTCTCCATGAAGAGAGTATATACTGCACACCAAAGTTCTGGGCTTTGGCTCTACTTGGTATTTCAATGCAGAAACATTTCTGAAACAAGACTAATTTACTGTAGCATGTTTTTTTCAAGTTAGCTGGCAAGCAGTGCTTCTGAAGATGTTTGGATGAGCTTCCTGTCATTTTTTTCCTATTTATTACAAACTTTTCAAACCAAGGATTTAAAATTAACAAGATTAAGCCATGTGCTTTCTCAGTTGAACTAGTGTAATCTGGATTGATCAGCTCATTTCTCTATTGTCAAGTCAGTTTGCCTTCACTTGCCAACCCAAATAAGAACTGAACTTCAAACAGATGATTAGAACTTCATGTTCTATTTAAATACTTGCTTTTGTTGTGCTGGTATGTCATTGCCTGACCACTCATAATTAGAGCTTGTTGAGAGACTTTAACGCTGTTACATCAAACCCAATTTTTTCTAGTCAAAACGACAAAGAAGAGGTCCAAAGTGGTGCATAATCTAGTGGCTGGAGTACTTGAGGGAAGACTGGTATCAGACAGATCTGAGCCTCCTTCTTGTGTAATGCACGATCCAGTAGGACCCTGATAAGCTTTGTAATGATACCCAGCAAGGCCACTCAAAAGGACATGCTTTATTTAAGGGTAAGCCTTAAAACAGAGTGGTCTTATTTGCTTCAGAATCAGTAGTTCAGGCTGCAGGGATATGCTGGTTGGCTATAAATGAATATTGATATTCAAAGATATTTGATACTTTAAGAAAAGGGGGCAGGGGCAAAAAATAAAAAAGTGGACACGAAACTTTCCAGAGTCTCTTCCAACAGCAACAAAAAAACTAATTTCCTTAATTCTAGGGATGTAATCCTCTTGCTGAGACTGGTCGAAGCAAACTTCAAAATCAAAGAGCTGTCCTAAACCAACAGATCTTAAGAGCAGTAAGAATGAGAGCTGGTGCTGAAAATCTTTTAAGGTATGTGTCATGACTTCCTAGTTCTCTTTCCTGAGCAACAAAATGATATTTTTTTTTAATTTTTCTGAAAGTCTCTTAGCTAGTGCTTTTTCTCAGTCTGCTTAACTGTTCCCCTAACATGCTGCACAAATTACTGCTGGATGCTTTGTGAATCTCCGTGGAGTTTTTTTTTTTTAAATGCTGTAGCTCTACAGAGTTATTACCTGCTATAAAGTACACTTTCAAAGCTGCTGTGTTGTAGCAAATTAGCTGAATGTTAGACTATCTTATGTTGCTCTGTTTGATCAGCTGTATTGCTAGTGATAATGGCAAATGAACCTTTCTGAATATTGTAATGAGTCCTTTTTACAGCTTAAATCAAATAAAGGTTTTGTCGCTATGCTGTTGCTTTTTCCAAGATCCTTTAGATCTGTGCTCCACAGTGGAAAGGGCCATCAGTTGCCTTATTTATTCCATGCAGTAGTGATGTAGGAGTAGCAGGGTAGCACACGCCTAATTTGAGCTGGGTTACAGTTGCTACCAAATTCTCCTACAGTTTGAGGTAACTGTAAGAGACTTTGCCCCTTAATCTATAATATTTTGTGTACCAAATGTTTTTTTTTTTTGTTAAGACACAGTTTCTTACTGTGTCTTACTGGGAGAGGGGAGGGTGAGAGAGCAGTTATTGTGGTATTTTGCCGCTAGACAGGGTCAAAACCATAACAGTGGCTGTCCTCATAGGAATTGCCTAATGTTGAGCCGGTCTTGAGGCTATTACATCCTGTGATTAGCTGCTTAGCAAACAGTCCTGTAGCTTTCCAACAATCCATCCCTCTGTTACACAGAACTGAAAATTTTTCCAGTACTCATCTGCAATAGTCTTCTATAGTCTGTTTCTCTGCAACTGGAGGAATAATGGGTCTCTGAGAACAAAATAGTCAATATACTTCCGTTAGAGAAGTGAAAATACTTGGATAAATTTACTTTTCTTAAACTTGCCATTAATTGATAGGTTGCCTTCTGCCTGCCACCTGCCTTTATCTCCACTCTTGGCAAGGATAGGTCTAACGGTTATGTAGTTTTAGCCTCTGTGACTGACTTTATTTTGCTTTGTTTTCTGGTAATTGTCTTAAGGAATAAGACTTAGGGTCTTTTGTTACCTTTTGTATGCACAGCGAGATTCTAATATCTGCTTTTGAAGCTGAATTCAGTAGATGTTTCTGCATGCCAGCTCAGGAGTGCTTTGGAAAAGCTAAAGAGATGAGTAATCTCTAATGTGAACACTGGTTACTCTGTCAACCTAAAGGTGTCTTAAAGTTCCACTCCTGATACTAATATTAACTGCCGAAATACTGAAGTTGCTATTGACGAGAGTGGGAACTAAGCGTATTTGCAGAGTAGAGAATCAGATGTATTTCCAAGTTATTAAAAGTCTAAAATGAATTTACACCTGTCAGACTCTTAAAACTCACTAGTTCTTTGAAAGAAGCAATTTTAAAAATAACCTGACTGCTAGATAGTTTACATGACTAGATATATTTACAGTGTCTTACGGAAAAACATAAAAAAATGAGCTGTGTTTTCAGATTCTATTTGAACTTCATCACATTCTAAAAGAAGCAAACCAATTGCTGTCCACAAGGAACCTCCTGCAGGAAGACTTGAGAAAAAAACTGGAAATGCAGGTTTCTTTACTTTTGGCTGAAAGTAAACACTAGGCTTGAAACAAATGATCAATGTAGTGCAAAGACTTTTGGTTTTACAAGTTATGAAAGTCACCCTCTCCTTTTCATTGTCTTTTGTTCTGGAAGTTCTGAGTTAAAACTGTATTCAGAGTAGGACTATGTGGATCTCAAAGATATCACGTTGCCCCTGTTACTGTCTCGCTGTTTGTCATTACCAAGTATGTCTATCGTGTAACAACATGAAAAGGTAATGAAATTAACTCGGAATTGGCATGGACTTTGAGAGCAATATAGCCATATTAGAGAAGTTAACCTAGATGGACCTCCTGTGGAGGATTGTGAACTAGACCAAACATGGAACCTTAATAACATTGTAACTAAGTTGCACTTAGCATCAAAGCTCTCCCAGTTACCTATATGGTGCTACTTTTATCAAGGAAGATCCACTCCACCCTATATTTGTTCAGTTTGGCTTATGCAGGCTGCAGATGTTAACACTGCTTAATCTAAGCAATCTCGGGTATTCAATAAAGTACAGCATAGAAAATTCATGGATGATGTATATTTATAACATGAAGTACAAGCTTAGAATTGTAGCCTTGGAATAACTAGTTCTTCACCGAGCTGCTCCATAAAACTGAAGGATCGTTCCAAGGGGAGCCTAGGTGTATGAGAGGGTTGCTCATAAATATTTATGAGAGTGAATTTTATCCTAAAGGTAAATGTAGAATACTGCAAATTTATTTTAAATTTGTTGCTGTCTAATGATTTGGAATCTCTAATATAGGGGCACAATACCTTAAGCCTAGATATGGATCAAGGCCTTTTATCTTAAACTTGTACCTGTGGTTATCAATAACAGTTTAAATCTATGGAAAACAGTAATACTGCATTGGAGAATTGGGTTAGAAATAGTGTTAAAATACCCTGAAATACACAAATAAGAAATCACACAGAAATGCTCTGGGGGGCTAAATACTAACATCCCCTGTGTTAGCAGTGCAAAACGATCAAAAGTCTCAACAGATGATTATTCAATTTATAAAGTGAGGAAGTCTCTTTTGAAAAAAATGTCTCCTCACTCCCCCCACCTCCACCCTTTCCTATTTTCCAGGAAAACATCACATAATCTGAAAATAAGATAGTGATTCTGTTTAAGATGCTTTAGTTTTGTTGGTTAATGTATCTGAAAATAAGCCTGACTCTTAATCACACAAAAAAATTTAGCACATAGCAAACCTTCTATGTAGCTGAGTGCTGCTATCTGGAAACTATCCCAGGCCGTCTCTCAACAGAAAAACCTAATAAATTCTGAAACATGAGGTCTTGTATCATCTCTTGAGATAAAAAAAAAAATCTTAAAAATGCTGAGAATGCTAGCAAGGGAGTCAACCTAGCTTATGTACAGAACTTTTTCCTCTGCAATAAAAAAGTTATATGTCTCTCTGCAGAGCAACCACCAACAACAAAGTACGTGAGCAGGTACTACTGGAACTGAGTTTTGTAAACTCAGACCTGCAGATCCTAAAGGAGGAATTGGAAGGACTTAATATCTCAGTAGAAGTTTATCAAAATACAGAGTAAGTATAAAACTAAGTTACTCAATTATTAAAGGTTTCTTCTGCTTACCACTGGAAACAAAATTGTTTCTAGGTCAATGTGAATGCTGGACAATAATTACGTGAAAGAACAGAGAGCTTGATAGGAAGAGAACATATTTGATAGTAGATTTGTTGACTAAGGGTTAGTCTGCATGTTTGTCTTTCACTTGGGAAAGGTATGTACCACTAATCCTTAGATACGGAGTTTCTTTGTAGAGGAGAGTACTGCGAGAATTGAAAGCTCTTGGGGATTTATGGGGAGATGTGGCACCTAGCAGAATTTTTAGTACTAGAATGGGTAATTGGTTCAGTGCATTCTGGAGTGAACAAATCTAGTGCTATAATATCTGTTCTCAAATGCAGTGCATGCAGCAGTTTTCTCTTTAGCTGGAGAACAGAAGTCCAACACTGATTTGGAGCTCAGGGCAGACTTGAGATAATGTTTGAGGTGTGCACTTCAGTGACAGAAGTCTATCAATTAGCTGGCTAAAACAGAGAAATTTTTAATAGATGAAGTTGGAATTGTTCCAAGATATTTTCCAACTTTAAAGAACATGCTAAACTTCAAATTGCAATGGATTCCTTAAAGATAAAACTTCCAAGTTAAAGATTATTCATTGCTTGAATACTGCCATGATTTCTGTATTGGTTAGATGTCTTGTTGCTCCTGAAACTAAATGTTTACTACTTGGTTAACATTAGCAGCTGAAGACAAAAATTGAAGTGCTTCATATGAGGGGAGTATAATTTTGGGTCCTTCTTAACACTATCCTCATTTAGGTGTTAACTTCCAGGGTGACTACAAGGAATTCTTAATGTAGAGGAACTAAGCACATTTCCAGTGGGGTGTTTTTCAATTGAATGTTGACCTGATACAAAATACATGTTTCATTTCTCTCAAAAAGAAACTTGTGCTAAGGTTCCTGCCCTCCATCCCTATGTCAAACTTCATCAACTATTTGATGAGAAAATGTTTTTTGTTCAAGGCTTTACCAGTCTTCACAGATGGATATGAGCATAGAGAGCAGTATGAAAATTATGGCTGTGGGAATGAGAGCAAGACTCCAGAAGTACTATTGCTGCTTCTAGCTAGAGAATATTAAAAATATTTGTATTCTCAATGAAGGACGAGCAGCAGGTCAGGCCCCAAGGCAGGTAGAAGCCTTGCAGCTGGACAGTAGCACGCTTTTTATTCTCTCCTGATCCTACTTCCCCAATCTGTTTTGAATGGGGTTTTATTTTTCTGATGCTGTTCATTCTAAGGTCTAAATGCTTTTTATGTTCCATCAGTTAAAATAATCATTCCATCTAAAACTGCTCTCCAACCTTTAATAGCAAATAGCTATTAATAGTTGCTCTTGGAATCTATTGCGCATATAGGTATCAACATGAGGTCACACCCATGTTACCAGGTTACACTGCATTGTGTTACACCAATCTGAAGGGTTGGCCTTCCCAGTACTTGCACACATCTCAGCTGGATTGAGAAGCATGATGCTATTTCTACTCAGTTCTGGAGATCCAGGATCACGTCCCTAACTGTTTAGTGTCCCTATGATGTTGACTCCATGGGAGTAAACTTCAGGAACTTAAAAAACAGAAATTCAGTTCATTTGAATGATAAATGCTGGTGTCTACAGGGACTGGGGGTGGTACTAGAATTCATTAAATCAGTAATTTAGGATTTCTTTTGCATGCCTCACTTTCTTTTGTCAAAAGAAGTCTTGATATAATCTGTTGTAAAAGTGTTGTGGTTTCTTCTAAAAGTCTCATCAGAAATCAGATCATTTGCAGTACCTGCAGTGGTGTTTTGGCTCTGTATCCTGTTAGTCCTTTTCAAGTTAGCAGAGCCACTTTCTGGATCGTGTCAACCAGTTTAAGGACTCTTCCTCTGCTGAGGAAGCTGCACTCCTATTTCCACATTCCCAAGATGGAATTTTCACTAGTAAGAAAGTGACTTTGCTGGCTCTGCTGATAAGATCAGAAGTGAATCACATCTATGGGATTTTGTAGTTGGTAATGGAACACTCTAAACAATTATTAGACAGTCCATCAGTTGTTTTCAGGAAAAAGGAAACCTTACAATTGCCTGATAGCGATCCCTTAAACCTACTCAACAAACTATGGATCTGGAAGCAATTCTCATCTTTCTTTTTTATAATTAAGTAATATGCTTAGTGGAAGAGCAGTATATGTAGGCTTAGAGGGATAAATGGTGCTCTTTAATTCATAATAGGCTTGTTAGCTAGCGTTGCTTACTAACATGATCCGGGTTTAAGTCCATGATACACATGTATATTTTCTTGAGGATCAAATTTTTTAAATCACTGTTGTCATCCTTACTGCCCTTTGATATTTTAAAGGTTGACTTGTTCAGAGGTTAACACCTAGCATTGTCTACAAGCTAAATAGTTCTCAGACTCCCTGGTCTTAGACCTTTCACTGGTAAAGTTGGCATACTTTGGCCCTGCTTTTCCCTGTGTTAGGCACACATCACTTCTACATATGAAAACATTGGTTGCATGTAAGATACTGATGGTAACAATTGATGATTCTGTGATTCTATGATTCTATGATTACCATAGCTCTTACCGTGGCAGATTTCCTAGCAGCTGTGGACCTGTGTTCTGTCCCTATAACTTGTGCAGGTGTGTCAAGGTTGAGCTAAATTGCAGTAAGCCAGCCTTTGAGAGTCTCTTTTTCTTTCCTTGAAGGCAAAATAAGCTCAAATGAGAGAGAAGAAAAAAAAAGGGGGGGGGGGGCAGGCATCTAGCTTTTCTCGCTCTCTTCTTGAGGAGTCATAGGCCACTAAGCAGATTGTCAGGAAGGAACTGTTCTAAATTGTGTACCTTTTACCTGAACATCCATCAGCATACTAACTTTCTGTCACCACATGAAACAAAAGTAATTATGCTATGAACAGACAAACAGAAAACAAATATTTCTGAATCTTTTTGGTGTGGTTTTTTTTTTTCTCTCCATAGAGAGACTTTCAGCATTCCGTTGGTACCTCTTGGCCTGAAGGAAACCAAAGAAGTAGACTTTACACTCCCGCTCAAGGTAAATTTTGGAGACATGTTTCAGAATTAATAGTTAACAGAAATAACTTCCATTTCAGATTTGTTTAAAAGAGCAGAAGTAATTTATGTACAAATTATTTTTTGTTTCATTTGCCCACCAATTATTTGGGTTGTTCCTCTCATCTAACTAGGAGGAGTCAGAAGATGTTATAAGAAATCCCACTTTAGAGACAGTGAAGTTAAACCAAAGAGGGTAAAAATTCCTCTTACAGTTTTTGGTTCCAATAAGACTATTGATTACTACTTTAAGTGTGAAAGGAAGTAGTAATGAAGGTTTTTACTTAACATAACTCAGTGATACTCCACCTTGCAATAACCAAGCTAGCTCAGTTGGGAAGCGATGCTGCAGCATTAACACTGCCTGTTTTTTGGCTAATATACTTTGCTAGCTATTTGAGCCACCTTCTGTAGTTTTTGGACTCCTGTATTGTGCAATGTAGATTTTATCTCATGGTAAACCATCTTATATCACCATCGCATTTGTCTCTATTTCTGTAGGTTAATCTCCATGGTCAGATTGTGGTACCACTTTATGCCATTGCAGCTTTGTTAATTTAAGTGGAATTGTACTAATATAGCTGACAAGAATTTGTCAGTCTCTTTCTGTTAACAGGTTCTTATGGTCACTTGATTCCCTTGTTATTTTAGCTAACAGGGTTCATTTGTCCCTTTCAAAGCCACTAAGTGGTGGTGTTTTAAAAACCAATGGAGTTGATCTAATAGGGGCTTGCTTCCTTAATACCAGACTGAAATTTCTTGTCTCAGATGTAAAATCAAATTGTTATTCTGTTGTCTTTTTGTAGTCTCATTGCTATATGTTACTATACTCTTGACTGGAAGGGAGTAGACAATGTGCAAATCACAACTGAATCAATTTTGTAGTGTTTGCAACTGCAGAAAAAAAATGAATAGTTTAGGTTAATTTCAGATACGCCAATTTTTTACCTTTTTTCTTTTAGGACTTTATTCTAGAACACTATAGCGAAGACAGTTCTGAGTATGAAGATGAAATAGCAGATCTCATGGATCTGAGACAAGTAAGTTCAAGTATGGCATACCACATGGTCTTTTAATCTAGAGTTGTAAATAACAACATTTGTATGGAATCAGAACTTACCATATTCTTATCGACTTCATTTCTGAGATATAGAACATGAATCTCCATTGTCCAAGAGCTTTACAACCTGAATAAAGAACAAGTGAAGAAAAGGATGAAGTTATGCACAGTGATTGAGCTATTGGCACAACTTTGTAAATCTTGAAAATCTAATCTTGTAAATCTGTTTTATCTATTTTTTTGTACTTTTCCTGCGAAGGAAAGTTAAGTGTTGAAGTGAATGCATCTAGCAAAAGATTGTAGTTGAACAGTGGCTATTTCTAATTATTATTTGTTTCCTGTCACATACTAGAAACATAAACTTTCTTTGTAGCTTTCATAAAATACCTACAATCTTTAATTAACTCTAAGACTTGACAAACAGATCCTCTTTGCTTCCTTAAAGGTTATGTGCTACCTCTGTGCAGCTGAAAAACTCTTATTTGGAATGCATCCATATGGCCTTAAGCTTGCTGTTCTCAGATTCCACACATTTCTATAATATGCAGAGGTCCAAAGGAAGCAGAGCTTTATCCTTGGTGTTTCAGTATTCATCCTGTAGCTCAACAAAATACACTTCATTTTCATCTATTGTATTTTAAGGCCTGCCGCACTCCTAGCCGAGATGAAGCTGGCATTGAGATGTTGATAAGCTATTTCCTTCAACTTGGTTATGTAGAAACCAGATTTTTCCCACCCACCAGGCACATGGGAGTTTTATTTACATGGTAAGTGTGTAGTTCATGTTTGTCTTTTGTCTTTTTTTTCTTTTCGGAACACTGTTAATCATTAACTGTCTTCTGTTTAAACTGAGCATGTCAGTGTGTTTCTCCCCCCAACTCCCTGCAGTGTGTGGTGTCAATTTTTTTTAGTGTTAAGATTAAACTTGAATACAATACATCGTTTTCGTGCTCAGAGTGAAGCTATTGGCTACATTATAATTTGGGCTACAAGTTAGCACAAGGGAAAAAGAGAGAAAATAGTCTTCAATTTGGATAACTGCAGATGTTTCCTGGACCCTGAACCTTGGTGCATGAAGCAGATGGGGAATGGGTCAGGCCTTAATTCCCCTCCTTCAATTTAAAATTAGGATTTGGGCCAGAAGAGAGGAGGAGCTACTGACTTTATTATAGTGGAGTGTTTACTACATCTATGAGCAAAGTTTGGCTCTGAATTCAGAATTTTTATTTTTATGAAGAAAAAAGATTACTACTATGCAGCCAAGAGGAACTGTTAAATTTCTAGCCATAACTGCAAGAAGAAACTTTAAAATACAAGCTATAGAGGATCTGACCATGCCAACAGCTGATCTTTGGCAACAGCTAAGTATGAGAACATAGCAGCACTTACAGATCCTTCCTCAGTGTACTCTCAGCCTCTGTGATGTTTCATAGGTGCTTTTGAGTTAGACTTATTATGCTTATGGAGGCACTGCCGTAAAACTGCTGAAAACTAAGCCTCAAATAAAGCCGTTCTCTGGCTTGCAGCACTTAGATTGTCCTCACAGTATATAATGGTATTTCTATTCACCTTCATTTTCACAAAAACAAAAAAAAAAATTAAAATATCTGTTGTTTCAATGGATTCTGCTAATTTTAACACTTCTAATATTTGTTTCCCAAGGTATGATTCCTTCACAGGTGTCCCAGTGTGTCAGCAAAATCTGTCACTTGAAAAAGCTAGTATTTTATTCAACATCGGAGCCCTCTACACCCAGATTGGAACAAGATGCAATCGTCAGACCCAGGCTGGACTTGAAAATGCTGTTGATGCTTTTCAGAGAGCAGCAGGTACAAATTTAAAAATACTGGGAAGGTCCATATGCAAATGTTCTTAATCTCATCCTGACATAGTACAGATTTCTACATTTCCCTTGGACTTCATTACACAAAAAAGGAGGAATAGGGAAATTCAAGAAGCCTAGTGAAGAGCTGAGATGAAGCTTTAATTCAAAACCTGGAACTGTAGTCATGCAGATTAAGACAGTGAATACTGTGGCTAATCATTAATGAACTGCAGTTCAAAGGTCCAAGTAATAGCCCTGACGTTACCTGCTTCATTGTTCATTCTGTTTCACCAGCATAGCTGCTTTTACCTCAGTGATATTACATTGGTGTAAAATCTGTGCAAGAAACAATTCAAAGGGTTGATAAAGGGCTTAAAATGTAGCTTTCCATATGGTCTCTTCAAAATTAATCTTACAGTGTTTTCTGGTGAGATTTGCAATTCAATGGAAGTTGACTACAATTTTCCATAGACTCCAAAGACAAACAGGTTCAAAATAATCAACCTCTGTCCCAGGTGAAGAAAAATACAATATCTAATAAAGGGAAACATATCCCTTGGACCAACATGTAATAGAAGCTTTTGGTTTGGTTTTTTTCCAAGTAGATTTTCTAATTTTTTAAATATTTAATTTGTGCTACACATAATGCTTAAAGACATGACCTATGTAATTGATAGGTACTATAAGATTTATTTCTGCACTAACAATCTGTGGCTGTTGGTTTCCACTGTATGGGTAGCTTTATCAGCTAAAAACTGTGGACTGTAAAGTTGGATTGTCATAACCCCTCTTTTGAATAAACAGCTATCAAAAAAGTTGTTAGTATTTCTTCATGCATTTATTCAATAAATAGTTTTTCAACCTTGTTTTTAATTGAAAATAAATTTCAGTACTTCAAAAATTTCTCCATTTTGCTGCTGCTTCTTCCATTTTGCAAATAAAAAAAAAAATCACTGCTTTTCACTTCAATGCATTTGCAGAACAGAATTAATTCACAAATTGAAATGCATCGTTTGCTACCACAGTACCTTTGCAGGGCCTCAAAGCAATGTGCTCAGGAGGCATTTCATTGTACCTGTGCATGGCTCCGTAACACTGTTCATTATGTTGGTAGAGACATGATGGAAAATGTTACACTGAGTTTATCCTGAACAAACCTCTCAGTGTGTATATCCTTACCACATAAGCAGAAACATGTTGAGAACAAAAAGTGTGTTTTTTACCCTTTGTACTTTCAGTCCCTTTCAATAGGGCACTCTCCATCAGTACTTGAGATGTGCCTGGCAAGTTTGGGGTTGGTTTTCTAGTTCAAAAAGGCAGAGGTGGTCATAATTCAAATTTGCTTAAGGGCATATTAATAAGTTAAAAGAAACAAGTGTAACACAGAAAATGCAAAATCTCAAACTGGGAGTAGAATAGTACACACTGCAACGTGGCCAGAACCAAATGTAGTGGCAAGAAGCAAGATTACAGAAGCTGGGACACTTAAAAAGGAGAGGTCTGTATCCCTACACTTTTGTAGTATTATCAGCAATTAGCAGGCTAGTAGAACTCACTAAACCAGTTGGATGAGGAACATGCTGAAGGTCACGCTTCCATTGGTGAAGCTGTTACTTATTATTTGCACTACAGTTAGTGTTTGTTTTTCATTTGATACACCATAGAAACAATTAATACATTGGTGGAACCAAATGTCTAGAGAAGAATCTATTTTTACCCTATTAAATATACTGTTCTAGCTTACTTACACGGGTGGAACTCAGCTTTCATTGGGACACACAATGCACGTAGCAGCATCTGAAAAGGAGATTCATAATTAAATAACTTCATATGTTTGTGTCTTTCCCTTCCATCTAAGGATTCTATTGTCACGTCCTTGTAGCTGTGTAGATTTAATTTTCTTCCTTGTCTTATGTACAAGCCCCAGCCTACCACTCCCTTACATAAGTCACAGTCAGTTCAGCACAGCTTTTATGGTCAATCACAAGAACTTATAAGCAAATCTGAAGATATTGCTCTTAAAACTTGCAGCTTCTGTTGCTCCTCTGAATTGTAATTTTGAGAACCGCACCTGGAGATGTTTGATGGAACTGCAAAGCAAAACCTGTAGGTCAGCTTAATTTAATATGTACTAAGAATCCCTTCAGATTGCTGTAGTACAATACTAGAAAGTATGCTTTCAGTCTTAATTATTATGGTACATGCTAGAAGTAAGTTCATTTGTTTCTCTTTGTAATGCTGACAAAACCATTTTTTAATTTCAGGAGTACTAAGCTACTTAAAGGAGACCTTTACGCACACACCAAGTTACGATATGAGCCCAGCTATGCTGAACGTACTAGTAAAAATGATGCTTGCCCAAGCTCAAGAGTGTGTTTTTGAGCAGATTGGTCTTCCTGGAATACGGAATGAGTTTTTCACACTAGTGAAAATGACACAGGAAGTTGCCAAGGTAAAATATGAGACTTAAAATTTTGTCTTTAAAATAACTGTTTACAGTGCTGTGTTACTAGCTACAGCCTCTAGTAATATTAACAGAGTTTATTAAACCTAAATGTTAACAACCATTACTGAAAACCAAAAGTAACAAGGGACAGCTCACAAGCGATGATGAAAATCACAACCTTTCAGAAGATTAAAATGCAAATAGCTGCAATTTATATATAATTATTTTAGAACTATTATGTTGGGTTTTTTGCATTCATAATTCATGGAGTTTGATAGAAACATGTTGGAACACTTTTTCTCAGCTGAATTAACGCAATGAGATGTATTTGTAAATTGAAAAAACGTTTACTATATGGTGTTTTTATTGGACTCTGAAACCATACAGATTGACTGACTTAGTCCATCTGTTCTTGTACAAAATTGATTTATTTTTCTTGTAAAGGAAAAATCAGAGATGGAATTTCAAATATTCTCAAAACTTATTTCCAACACTTTCTAACCATCTTCCTCCCCCCGCCCCCCCTTTGATGTGATGCACATGAAATTATCTTAAGGCTGAATGTAATGTCCCTTATTTGAGCTCCTAATAACTAAAGTTAAATTCTCATACTTCAATTTTGTGCTTTATTTTAGGTGGGAGAGGTTTACATGCAGGTTAACACTGCCATGAATCAGGAACCAGTGAAAGAGAATATCCCCTATTCCTGGTCTAAACTGGCACAAGTGAAGTCAGACCATTACAAAGCTCTGGCACATTACTTCATTGCCACCATTCTGTGTGACCATGAATGTAAGAATCATACATTTTCTATATATTCATATCAATAACAATAATAAACACATAAACAGTTTGGTCTGTGAATAAGACTTGAAGCCAGAAACTTTGGGGTTTCAATATATGTTAATTTGTGGATATTTTTCTGCTCAGATATGAGGCCATGCTTGTTTGTCCTTTACAGAACAATGTGAAAGTTCAATAAATTAACTTTTTCAGAACTAAAAGAAATATCTATCATATGCTACTAATTTGTTCAACTCTTGTCAGTATGTCCTGGCATATAACTTAGTTGCATACTGTAGATGACAAAACTGGTAAGTCCTAAAAACTTAAAATTTCCATCATATGTGTCAAAGTATTTGACTGCATTTGGAGAGAAGGCAGTAATACCTACACAACAGTAAACCTAAAGGAACAGGGCACCAAGAGATGCCTAATGGTTAATGTTCTGTATCAATTATTATAGTGCAGTCTTGTGATGATGAAGATCATCAGGAGAAAGCCTTGTCCCAGTTGTATGACTACATGCCTGAAGGACTGATGGTTCTCACAGTTTTAAAGGACAAAGTTCAGAGGAAACAATTAGGTAAGTGCCCAGCAACAATTTGAAAATACAATTTGAAAATTACCTTCTATTGTCTGTGGAGGACAACCAACAGTTTCTATTTTTTTTCCAGGGAAAGCACATTTACGCAAAGCCATTGTTTACCATGAAGAAGCTCTAAGAGCCTGTGGTCTGTGCAAAAAGCTTCGAAATATTGATGTTCTTCAGGAGGTTTTGACAGCTGCACATAAGCGCTCACTTCTCAAATATGCTCAGCAAGAGACAGAAGATGACTTTCTCAGCCTAGTCCAGGCTCCAGATATCCTTTGTAAGTATACACAGCTAGAAACAAAAGGTCTCGAACCATACCTGTATATGCTTTCATAGGGATATGCCTTTATATATGTGTACATGTATAATATGCAACCATATATAATATAAATAATGTACAAGTTATATACTGTACTCTACTATACCAAGTTCAGGTTCCTTACATGTTTCCTCAATCACAGATAAATTAATTTTGTTACAGCTGCTTTACAGTGTTTTTGTCTCTGGCCACATCATTTTCTGGGGTAGATAACAATGGTTATTTAGAATTCAGCTTTTTTTGGTGACTATCTTATGAGATAGAAAAAATGGGAAAACTTTAAAAGCTAAAATCACATGGCGGAAAACTAATAACTGTTTCTTGTAACACAACTCTTATACTGGTCTAAGTTGTTAACTCAATTTGACTGCTATTGGTTCTACCTAGCTTAGTCCAGCTCATCCAACTCCTTCCTCTTTGGAAGCAGGGGGAAAGAAAGAGTGCTGGTTTTAAATATTTCTCAAATAAAAATATATTAAAGAGGAGAATAGCATAGTTTTGTTTGGATGGATTGTTTTAAGTTTTCTGTCTTGTTACTATGAGTTCCGAAGATACTTTTAAGGCAATTCAGATATTTGTCTTACAAATTTCCACAAAAATTAGTTTTTCTATAGCCTGGTAAGAATTTAGGAGAAATTTCTATCTAGCTTGGAATGCAAGAAAAATAAATTTGTATGTCTTTTAAATAATACTTGAGAGAAAATTAATCTGTTTTTCTTTTTGTTTTAGCTAAAACAGAGCATAAAATAGAAACAATCGCTCCTCAGTTTTCCAAGGTGAAAGTTAAAGACTTCTTTCGCAGGCTGGTATGTAATGTGCTGATGCTGACCAACCTCTGTAATTTTGCTAGCAAGTAAAAATTCACTCTAATGCAAGGGAAGGGACACACATATTTTAGCCTGAAAAAATGATCCTGTAGTAATGGGGTTTTTTCGAGGTTATTGGAGAGATTACTACTAGCTTCAGAGGTATAAGTCATCTTGAGACTAGCAAAGAATAAAAGTGCCATTTATATATGGCTTTGCACAATATTCATTCTTAACCACCTTCCTAAAAGTCCCTTGAAGTTTCAGTGGATAATTGCATACAACTTAAAGGCAGGGAGAAAGACCTAGTACTTGGAGATGGGCATGCAGAATGTGTTAATGTTCCATGCTACAGCACCAGTGTTTCAGGTGGCTCCCTGTGTGTTGGTGGGTAAAGGGAATGGGGAGCTGGGGTCAGGATCAGAATATGCAATGTTTCATTAATCAATTTATCTCCTCCAAAATGGAGTAATACAGGACCTTAAAGCCTGCTGCAGCCCAAAGATTCAGCACACCTTAACAGGGATCTCAGAACTAACTTGGCAGTTGCTCTTATCCCACTCTGGTTGAAGTATCACCTGAACAGTCATGAAGTAGGGCTGAGCACTTCAGGGGACATCTTAAACTTCTGGGATAAATCTCACTGTTCCATTTCAATAGAAGTAGCTGGAAGTTAATCTGAGTAAAACCTACATAAGATGAGCTTAAAGCATTATAACTTAAAAAATAGAAATGCTTACTTATGAATGACAGTAAACTATAATGTGCCTGCTGCTATCTTACCTCCAGGGCCCATTGCCGGTGTTCTCAGCCAAGCAGAGATGGACAGCTCCACGTACCATTCGCATCCACCATGAAGCAGGAGGGCTAGGATTCAGTCTTAAAGGAGGTTCACCAGCACAGGTTTATTGTCTTGATCCAGGCTGTTCTGCAGCAGTAAGTACATTGGTGCAATATTAACAATTTATCTCCAGACTCTAGAGTTACAATCTCCTAAATGTTAAGAGTATCTATATCCCTGATATCACATTAAACTAGAGTTGATTTCTCCTATGTTCACCCTTAACAGATAAAAAGTCACAAATAATAAAAGCAACTGTTATTGTCTATGTAATTCGGGAAGTTAGAAGGGATAAAGGCTTTGGCAAGTAGCAACAACAATAACGATGAGGATCAGGAAGGGAAGGAAAGGTAGTGCGTACCCAAGGAAAAAGAGGGGAAAGAACATATTACCAGCTTCCAGTATGTTGTTCTTTTGAGGGGGAAAAAACTAAGGGATAAAGCAGCATGCAGTGATGAGCACAGTTTAGCTATAGGAAAGGCAGAAGCAACCACAGAAGTACAAATAAAAAGACTGCTGAAACAGAAGAAAGAACCAGACAAAATATCTCATGGGGGATAATAAGGTAGCAAAAACCAGGTTTCACTTAAGGAGAAAACTGAAGAGAACATAAAAAGAGACAACATCCAAGGATGCCTGAATCACATTTCTCAGTGGTAACTCAAATAGGTAATTTGTGTACTTGAAAAAGTTGCATGTTTCTGTGTTATATATACACTTTTCCACAGTTCCACATGTCTGGCTAGACAATGGTTTTATAGTATCTAGGCGGGAAATGCCTTTAGGGGAGATACTGTATGATGACAAAAACATTTTACATATCTTTATAATTCTAGATAATAACCTGTGCAAAATTTTTTGTCAGTCAATGGGCCTAAAAGAAGGTGACTACATTGTTTCAGTTGGTGGTGTGGATTGCAAGTGGCTTGGAGTGAACGAGGTGCTGGAAAAATTAAAAAGCGTGGGAGAGCAGCCCATTGAGTTCGAGGTTATCAGTTGCCAGGATACAGCGGCATCTATGGTATGTAATGAGGCAAATACGTTTTGCAGATTGGTTATGTGAGGGTTTTCACTTTCCTGGCTTCGGTCCCTGATTAATGGTTACTTTCATGTAGCCAGATATACCACTCCACCAGTGCATATATGAAACATTCAGGCATATGTTCAGTTTAACAGTCTGTTTAAATCACCATGAATTAGCAGGCTGAAGTACAGTCTGTGTGCATAAGAATAGTTGGGTGGTGTTTTTTTTCAGTGGAGCTACTTACATTAATTCTACTATAAATTCCAAGGCATATTCTATTTTCCCCCAACTTATCCCAGAGGATGAAAATATTACCCTGTTCCAGCATTGGAAAAGCCACAATGAAACAATAATGGAACAAAATAGAACATCCAAGACTGCATGCTTATTTTTTATGCACTCTTAATATAAATGGTCTGTGACTTTTGTATTAGATCATGGATTAATGTATGTATTTTTAATTTTGGTGGACTTTTAACTGTGTAGTCATTTACTAAGCTGCTGTAGAAGCTTTAGACTAAGGAAAAATGATCACAAGATTAAAAAATGTTAAGCTCTAAATAACTTAACATTTGTGATGTGGGAGAACCTGTAGTTCAGCTAAAGCCACTGCTTCATGCTTCTAACATTCCCTGGGAAGCTTAGGCACTTAAGTATTGTTGCCTTAGAAGTGACCAAGATGCTCTTACTGCTGTTAGGTTTTTTTTTTTAAATTTAAGAACTTAATTTACCTTACTGAAATTAAGGAACTGTACACCTGCCATTCCAAGATGCTACTGGAAACAAAAGGCTAGGATGTAATCAAATTGCTTCAGGGCACAGCTAAGATAAGACAGAGAAGGCTGTGCATTTTAGGCATCGGAAAAGAATGTCTTAAGGTAGCTCTTGTTGTCAAATTTGCAATCAACATCAAACCTGTCCAAAGACATCAAAAAGACCTCCCTTCAGAGATTTGTGCAAGAACTGCATACTTAGGCTTTGTAGAGAGGTTGGTGTATATATTGTATAGTGATGCTAGAAGCCAGTAAATGCTAACTATAACACAACTCATGGAAAATATTCACAGTCCCTTTACACTTTGCGTAGTATACCCTTGGGCAAAATACCAGAATCGCAGCACTCTGAAAGCCCTTGTGTTCAGTTAGTATGTCATTAGCACAGAAAGCTTGCTGGAGTCTGCCTTGGAAAATTATGTGCACAGTAACCTTTTGTTGTCTTCAAAATTTTGACCTATTTTGGGTGACTGATTCTTATAATGCTTCTTTTTCCTACAGCATAGTAAGAGTGCAACTTATTCTGTGGGAATGCAGAAAACATACTCCTTAATTTGTTTAGCCATGGAAGAGGATAAGATTGATCACACCAAGAAAGCCCCACTGAAACTGCCTTTTCTAAGTTGGGGAACTAAAAATAGACAGAAAGCTGCAAGCACCCTCTGCCTTCCTTCAGCTGTGGCTGGAAGTTCTCCGATTAAGAAGAAGCTTTCTCCTTTCACGCTTCTGAATACGGAAAGTTCATTGTACTGAATCTCTCAGAAGGATCTGTTAACATGGCATTTTTCTTTAAAATGTATATACAAATATTGATCAATTTTATCTTTATATATACATGTGTATAAATTCAGACAAATGCCATTGACTTCATTTACTGTGTATTGAGCCACTATGAAGGTCAGAGGCTGGCAAAAACTGTAAAACTTAAGTATTTGAAGGTTAGAATGAAGTTGGGAGGTATGCACTAACAAGATGTAGATGATTAAACTGCTTACATAAGGACTGGATTCCTTTGGAATTTCAAAATACAGTATCATGACTAATTTTTTTATAACTACGATAGATGGGAGTTATTTATTACAAACTTGATGCTGCATGCAAAACAATAGGATGATTTTGCTGTAAAAGTTTAGAGTCAATAATAAATCACTTAATGCTACTTCAAAGAATTATACTAACCAGCCATGGGTGAGAGAGAATAATGTTATTCAGAGAAACTAGCCTTGTGCCAAGGAGCAGTGTCATATAGTCGTGATTTTTATGCATGGACATTCTCTTTCTGAGAGCACTAGGTGTATTCTGCTGAATAGTTGATTTAATTCTGGAAGAGAATTAGACGGCTTACAAGTCAAAAGATCTTTTGAACTACAAAAGGCTTTTACTCTGCTCTTTTTCTGATCTAGGTTACAGTTTAAATGCCTGCTGATTCAATTGTTAAGAACAGGCTTTATTCCAAACGTTAAATTTATTTAACCTATTTACCCATAAGACTTGCATCTTGTTAGTCTTTATAAAATTGATAGCTATGGAGCAAATCTCAAAACTGACATATTCCAGTATATTGATCAAGAGTATATAAATTGTGATTAAATAAGAGAAAAGAAGTGCTTGTGAGTCTAAGTGGCAGAATATTTATTTACTATCACACCAAGTGAAAAAAAAAAGATATAAAATTCTCCTCCTCCCCTTGGCACAATTTGTGAGCAAGTATTGACTATATATATTAAAGAGGGAGACAAAAACTAACTGTGTGAGCATTTCTTTGAGATTCTTCTCTTTTCTGAAATTGAAATTAATTGAAAATTGCTAACACTGTAGTGTTAATTAACATTGCCATCTACAGAGTAGATATATGCTGTTTGATACTCAAAACTTAAAATAAGGGGAAAGTTTGCATCTGGGTGTAAACTTTAAAGTTGTCATTTATTTTTAGTTTCTTATGTAATAGGTGTAAATGTGTTGATGACACTTATTTAAGAATAAAAATCAGATGCTGCTATTTAGTAGTAGCTTTTTGCTTCTGCTATGGCTTGGATGATACAGCTTAATTTAGAGGTTCTCACTATTCACTGCTGGCATACCTCCTGCACGTTTCTGTAATATTGCTTACAAAGATCTAAGAAACTGTCTTTCTTAAAAGCTTATATAAGACAGGAACTTAGAATTTATAGTCTAAAACTTACTTCCTTACAGTGTTAACATATTTCTAGAGTTTCCCTATAAAAGTTACATTAAAAAGTTGTGTGTTACTTGTGACTCACCTGTCCTTAGTAGTTATTCTTCACATGTACTTGCAGTAGCACTTTTCATACATGCAAGCAGCAGCAGCCATATACTGATCTGCAAGACCCTGACAAACCATATTCTATCCAGAAGAGATGTACTTTGCATGTAATCACTACCCAGCTAATGAAGTCTTTAGCTAAGTCACATGATTCACCCTTCCAGCTCTTCATTTCTCTTGGCCCACTACAATAGTCTTCCTGCAAATATCTTCCCTGTTAGCTGCATGATTAACTGCCTTTCCATTCCCCTGACCACACTCACTAGTCCCAAAGGAAAGGTTGGGGTGGGGGTCTTTTTTTATTTAACCACCACCCCCAGCCCCCTGCTTCAAGTCAAAATTTGGGCTTCTCAAGTACCATACAAATGAATACTTACTGTTTTCTGTCAGCTAACTAAGGACTCATTCTACACTGAGTGGGAGCCAACAACTAACTTAAGGCAAATACTAATTTCACAGCAAGTTACATTCTTGCTCAGACCACAGGAACAGTTGTAGCAAGTTTCTATCCATAAGGATGCACAGAGCTACTATAAAGCCCTAAAAATAAAGGTTTGCAATAAATTAGTAGTTCAGCATATAACTCTATTAGTACTAATTGTTACTACTTTAATTGAACCTCATTTAATGTGCTGAGCAGATGGCCATTTGAACTAGTAAAAAAGTGTTTGCCTTGCTACATCAATAGCCACATACCATTAGATGTGAAATCCTGTCTCCATAGCAAAGTGACAAAGTCTGAGACAGAGGGAATAATATCTAAACAAACAAACAGATTTATAAAAAAGCTTAAGTTGTAAGAAAGTAGTATCTTGTTCTGGAAATTCTGATGTTTATTATTCAGTAAATTAAATTATAAGTGTATTTTCATCCTAAGTAAGGAATCAATATAAAGAGCAGGTCTATCTGCTGTCCACGCTAACCGCTGGACGAGATTGGTTACAGAAGTGCCAAGGTTCTATTATTGACTTCTGTTTAGCTTACAAAAGGGAGCTGAAAATCCTGCTCTACTGCCTTCCCGCTGTGATCCACAGCCCAAGTAGTATGGAAGAAGCTTTTCACACACTTCCTTAATGGGCACATAAGGCAAAAGGCAATTTTACCCTTACCAAATAGGATAAGGATATAATTTAAAATAAAATCCAAGATGTCAGGAAAGCCAATACTCCTCTTTACAAATAAAACTTTTAAAAATATTAATACTGGAAGAACAGGATGAATTATCAATTTTTATCAAAGTTTCCCATATTATTTCTTTGTAGCATATATTATAGTGTAATAGATATAATTAATACATTATAATTGATAATATGTCAAAATATATTGTAATTTATTATAATTATCCCAACCTGAATTCAAAAGCACAACATGAATTAGCCACGATTTTGTATATTAGACACAAAGAAATAAACTGATAACACCATATGAACTGAAAAAGAAACCAGAGACATAACGTAAAGTCAAAGATGTATTCCAGCAGGACTTTCCAAAGGAACTCAGAAAAGTTATAAATCAAAGATATTACTATGAAGCAATGTATGCTAACTTTCTAAAACGCTGTAACTCACATTTGCAGTTACTGAGAAGATAACACCACTGCATATTAACAGAGTTTTTATTCCTGGAAGACAAAAATAAGCAAGCAATTTCTATTTTTTTTCTGTGGATGCTGAAAAAGACAGCTTTCTCCCAGTTTTTTTTACTAGATGCAAAACACTTTACAGCTGTCTTTCCAAGATAATTTTCACAGCTCAATCTACATGAACAGAACAGCTGTAAAGAAGCAGCAGCAGAGTAATATCTAGACAATTAGTCAACTCTCTCCAGTTAAACAGGATTACTGGAATTATCATAATGTGATAATAAAAACCAAAATTTTATAATCCACAAGAATCAAAGTCTTTGTTTTCCAAAACAGTACTACACATGCATGTCAGGAACATAAAAAAGTGTGAATTTGTTGTGCTACCGTTTGTCCAACTACTAGTTCCAGCTCTTCGACAGATGCGTTACAAAGTCGGTGGATGCTTCCAAACTGTTGCAGCAAAAGCAGAGCTTTTGTTTTCCCAACGCCTGGAATTTGTTGCACCGTTCGAAACACTAATGGCTCTGCCAACTGAGAACACTGTTTACGAAGAAAGGGGTTACTGTTGTGATCCTTACTTTGTTCACGGACCTGAAGCAAAACAAAACCATCAGAGACACTGAATGCCCTCTGCTGGAGCTCTGCTTTTTGTTTTTTAAAATAGTTTCTTTCATCTCAAAAGAGATCAGTGCAATTACTAGGAAGTTTTAAAAACAAGTCTCCTTCTTAAGTGTGTGCCCTTGCTAAGGGTTTTGATGCAGATCCACAAAGTCTCACTAGGAAACCAACAGTTTCTTAATATCACCCATGAATTAAAACAACTATTTTGTCATCTTTTTGATGCAGTCAGAGAAAGGAGAAAGGAAAAGCGAAACAACATAAGAACACAGTTTCCCCAGCCAGAGACAAAGGAAAATCTCAGGTTGGTTTTGACAGAACTTGAGAATTGTCTAATGCTATCCAATGGCATGTCAGTGCAAGATTGCATTAAAAAAATCCAGTAGCATATTCTTCAACCTTTTTGCTTTGTTCACAAATGAACCCTCTTTCTGCTGAACGATACTACCATATTACTGTTGCAGGATATTTATTCCTTACATTCAAACAATAAAATATGTTGTGTTCTTTTAAGATCCCAGGTATTCCTTCTGAAATGAGTGATGATTGTAGGAAAACAGGTAATTCTCCTCATATCCTATATTTTAATAAATGTTTGTACACTAATGTAGAAACTTACTAGCTGAGTAATAAGTTGAGAAGCTTCTCCTTGATTTGCCACAGGGAGCAACACCATTCCAAGTTCTAGCACAACAAGCTTTTGTACTGCTAAGAAATACTGATCACTTATTTGGGTTCTCTCCACAATCACAATTCCCCCAAGACTGCTGGCCTGTATTAAATGAAAAAAAAGAAAAGACCTTGTTAATGACAAGCTGATGCAATGCAACAGAGAGCAAACTTCTGTCAAGTTGAGCTACTTTCAGGTAAATCAAAGAATCAAAAAATCAAAATCAGAGAAAGAACAGAAGTTGCAGGAGCAGTACTGAGGTTTAATACAGCATCATTACACAGCTGTGTAATTTTTCAGTTTTTGGGTGGAAATTAAAAGTTTAGCTAGAATTTAAAAGAAACACAAGAAGAATGTTTTCAGAAGCATGGAATAAAGAAATACCAATTGAAAACTTTTCCTTTTCTCTTTCGGTAGTACTTACATTTCTAAACCGAACCAATCTTCGCTTGAATTCATCTCCTGCAACCAAATCTGCTTCAGAAATATATAAAACACAAGTTCTGTTTGAAAGATGAAAATCCACAAGTCCCAAGCCATCTTCAAAGATGAGTCTAATTTTCCCTTAAGGTGAGATTGTTAAAAGAAAAAATACGGTAGTTAAAAGAAAACCTAGTAATTACTTCACAGCACAACCTTCCTAACATGTCAATAATCCTAGTGACTTGACAATAAACTTCATATTCTTTAAAAGCCTTTCTTCTCTTTAAGCAAAACTGATACAAAGTACTGTGTGATGACGTTAGTAATGCCAATTAATATCACTTTCAAGTCCTACAGCTTCTCAGGAAACTCTGGACTTTTACAAAAACATCACATGCTGTTCTGAAAGGATCATCTTAATTCAGTTTGTTGTGCCAACAAATGATAGCACATTCCCAGTATCCATGTGAATTCAAGGAACTTCTTTGGAGATGCATGTTCACAACAGCCCCACTGCTGTGGTTCCCAAGCAGCAGGTACTTCTGCTGCTTCTCTACAGTGCTCAGCAACTATGCAAATCTGACAGCATTAAACACATAGATAGATGACAGACAAATAGGAATTTTCAGCCTGTACACAGGCGGTACCATAAATACAGGAGGAGTTAGGCACAGAGTAAAGCATCTTCCAGCCACCCTTAACAATACTGGGTGACAGAGGGGAATGTTTTGCCTGAATTGTTTTTCCTCTTCCAATTTGTTGGTGTACCTTGTAGCCTTTGGGCTATCTCTGACCCTCTCCACTTCTCATTTCCAATCACGTGCCCATAAGGGACAACTATAGATCCTGCTGTCACAGGAAAGTTTCCTTTCGTTGTCATCAGACCTCCTTTAAATCTTTACTTCAGTAGCTGCTACACCCTAGAAAGAAATGTAGAAGAGCTATTAACACATTTTATAAACCTGTTCCAAACATAATGATTAAAATTTATAAGATGTAATACTCTGAAAGAGACACTATATTCTCTCAAAAGCTACCTTATGGTTATGGTTAACATATGAAAATCTGTAAGCAGCTCTGTTTACTAAAATACAGGCTGTTGGCTTGCTAGTTCCACTCCCAACTTTGCCAGTCAATCTGAAAAACAATTAAGACACACCGCACCACCTTTTCTATGCCTTCATCCTCACTTGCTGAGAGAAAGTCTGCTTCAGTTACAAAGCTGACTGCAGAGGCATCTCCAGCCCTCAGCTGGCAGAAGACACCAGACAGAAGGTAGTTGCTGGGAGAGATTATTTTCAGGTTTGCCAGCTTTATGTAGGGTTCCGACTTTCGGGGGAAGCTGGACTGTTTGAGGCTAAGGCACGATTTAAGGAGAGGAACCGAAGGGGAACCAGTACCACCACAAACACCATCCTGAGCCACATCCCGCAGCCCGGCCCAGAGCGAACCCTCACCGGGGACCCCTCTGAGAAGAGCGGGGGACGGACCCA